ATAAAGTATCAACTTACCATATTATTAAAGCAATGTTTTGGAGAATAATTTTGTTCTACTTTGCTTTCAGTTTTAGTCCTTTATCTAAAAATGTACTCTAACACACATCACAGACACACAGTAGATAACAACTAACCATATATTTTCTAGACTTCTGTATAGCTCAGTAACTACCCACAAAGTTCTGTGAACTCTTCAGCTTCAAGCCTGAAGTCAATCTATGAGAGCCAATAGAAAGTACACCTGTGCAATTACTACATTCCTATTTCAGAATGCTAAACGTAACACAGACTATCCACACTATTACTATTACATTTGGAGCAATAATAAATGCCAAGCTCAAATTATGCAGAAGCCACATTATTTTAAAAAGGCCATCTTATAATATCAGTATTATAAAATACTAAGTATAAAGAGCAATATTTTAGTTTTAAATAACCACCACCAACTAAGGGCCCTCTATGGCTAAGTAAACATTAAGAATAAAAGAGGACCTCATAATAAGTTACAATATAAAAATATTTCTAGGAAAACAACTGGTTAAAAAAAAACAACAAAAAAAACCCGGTCACAAAATATACCACCTAAACTTATCACATACCAACTGAATAAGAAATTTACTTTGTCAAATAAAGTCAAAATAAAGGGGAGAATGGAAGAAAAATCCAAATCATAGCATTTCTTTTCACAGTATCCCTAATTCTCCTAACTATATAATAATCCTTTTGAATGTTTTTAAGTGACTTGATATTTAAAAAAAAAAAAATCAATCCTGGTCACCTCAGGCACCAGCATGTTATGCTATGTAGAAATATTGCACTGAAAAACTACTCAGTGACAAGGTTCCACACAAGAGATTTCATTTTATAAAAATCTTAAAAGTCACAATTTAAAAAGACAAAGAAGTTCCAAAACAAAGAAAAAATTTTCCCAAGGGATACAAAGTTTCATTAACTATCTTAACTCTTACTAAACATCACCTTTCTGCCCCTCTTTGGATATCAAGCAATCAATAACAATGTCACAAAAGAATGTTTATCAAGATGGAGGTAGGGTGTCACCTGTAATGATTCCGTATAAAAAAATGTAAACAATCTTAAAATAGGTGAGGACAGCTCCCACCATCCTAAAACCTCACTCTGTGGCTATTCAATGTTTCCCAGACTAAAATTAACATGAGTTTAGAAACTGGTGTGCAAGGTTTGGGGTGTGTGTGTGTGTGTGTGTGTGCCCGCGCGCTATTTTTTATGGTTAAAAACAAATCTCCCCATAAGTCCCTCATTTCCAAATACTGTTCAAGAGTCACTACTACTCACCGCAAGTAATACTGTTTTAAAGCAAAGGCAGCGTTAGAACAACTTCTGGGAAAGTTGAACTCTTCAACAATTTCTCCCCACTGATTCTTCTCAGAAACCTGTTAAAAACACAACCACGCTTGTCTGCAAATGCACAACCCAAGAAAACTCTAACCTAACCATGAAATAAATACCCATTCTACAGAGATCTGCAGATACCCAGGCATCAATGGGCGTTTCAGATCGACCCCTACGAGCTACCAAGCAGCAGAGCCTGCTCGTATGTATCCCTGTTTGCACCCGAGAGCCCTGGGTTTTGCAGCACTTGGTTTTTTTTTTGGGGAATAACCAATCGCAAGTCCCGCTGTCGCCCCCTTTTAAATCTCAACGCGGTCCGTTTACACGGAAAAAAAAAGAAAAGAAAAAGAAAAAAAAAGTTCCGAAGGATCAATAGTGTTCCGGACAGCGACGCCCGCAGGGTCTGGGGGGGCCGGGGCCGGGGCCGACTGCGCTCCCTCTCCCACATCTCTCCATCTCCATAGGCCCTTCGTGAGGCCTACAGCTCCTGCCTAGCCTTGAAGCCTAAGATGGCTATTTGGAGACAGGTCCGGGTTTCTTTTGTTAGCGGCATAAA